AGCTTCAACTGTTACAATTGTGAAATATTACCATTATGATTGTAGGCCTAGTAACTATAGCTACAAATGTACCAATTATGAAATATTACCAATATGATTGTAGGTCTAGTAACTATAGCTACAAATGTCACAATTATGAAATATTACCAATATGATTGTAGGCCTAGTAACTATAGCTACAAATGCTACAATTATGAAATATTACCAAAATGATTGTAATATTACCAAAATGATGAAATATTACCAAAATGATTGCAGGCCTAGTAACTATAGCTACAAATGTTACAATTATGAAATATTACTCATTATGATTGTAAGTCTAGTAACTATAGCTACAAATGTTACAATTATGAAATATTACCAAAATGATTGCAGGCCTAGTAACTATAGCTACAAATGTTACAATTATGAAATATTACCAATATGATTGTAGGCCTAGTAACTATAGCTACAAATGTACCAATTATGAAATATTACTAGTTATGATTGTAGGTCTAGTAACTATAGCTACAAATGTACCAATTATGAAATATTACCATTATGATTGTAGGTCTAGTAACTATAGCTACAAATATTACCAATATGATTGTAGGTCTAGTAACTATAGCTACAAATGTACCAATTATGAAATATTACCATTATGATTGTAGGCCTAGTAACTATAGCTACAAATGTTACAATTATGAAATATTACTAGTTATGATTGTAGGTCTAGTAACTATAGCTACAAATGTACCAATTATGAAATATTACCATTATGATAGTAGGTCTAGTAACTATAGCTACAAATGTTACAATTATGAAATATTACCAATATGATTGTAGGCCTAGTAACTATAGCTACAAATGTACCAATTATGAAATATTACTAGTTATGATTGTAGGTCTAGTAACTATAGCTACAAATGTACCAATTATGAAATATTACCATTATGATTGTAGGCCTAGTAACTATAGCTACAAATGTTACAATTATGAAATATTACTAGTTATGATTGTAGGTCTAGTAACTATAGCTACAAATGTACCAATTATGAAATATTACCATTATGATAGTAGGTCTAGTAACTATAGCTACAAATATTACAATTATGAAATATTACCATTATGATTGCAGGCCTAGTAACAGTATAGCTACAAATGTTACAATTGTTTATTCTGAACCACCTGAAGAAAGAGAGAGATTGGACACATTAAATATATTGTATTCTACTGTAAGAACTCAAGCCATTGACGGAATAGTTTATGATCGTGATATCTATGTAAACGAGGAAGACGGTAAATACATTACAGAAATACATTATATATTTGCAGCATGTAGACCTTAATCAAGGCTGCTGTCATTTGATTATTTTGACTTGTTTTATGTTCCAAACCCATGTATTGTGTAATGTGGACTGCAGGACTCTATAGTACAATACTACAGACTATAAAAATAAATTCTTGGCTAAAAAAAGTTATTAGTAACATTGCACATTGATTGGTTTTTGCACCTTGTATAGGCTTGTAATTTTAGAATACTTATAGTGCCATTGTGTTGGTGTTAAAGAGAAAGCCAATCTGCAGCGTCAATGTGTTTATTGCATAAAAGACATGGTCGCATGTTTGTTTAAAACATACAAATGTGAGACGCTTTCAACCCATCTTTTTTAGTAATTACATGTCTTCAACTGCCAAATAGGTGTTGGCCCTATAGCATACATGACCAACAATCTTTTTATAATAAGTGCATATAATTATTGACTCCACGAAAAGTTACTCGAGATAAGGGGGGGTAACTTGCCCTTGGTAGCATAGTACACCACACTTTTCTGTATAGAAACACAAGTTTAGGCATGGTACAAAACTTATTAGAATACAAATCACAATCCTCGGGGGCCGACATCATTGGCAACCCTCGCGGTGAAAACAAAGGCCAACAACTCGCAGAAAACGATACTTTGGGATGGTTGTTGAGACTCCCCTGTAACACGATTAGCCCTACGTGTGTAACATATATAAATTTGGTTGTTCAGGATTACTTCAAAGTTGAGTTTGTGTTGTTTTCTCGAATTTTCACTGGCTCGACAGGCGTTCCACAGCAGCGCGCACAGAGCCCATAGAAATGCATGTACAGACTAAATACATTCCTTCATACATGAACATGATATAAACAAGTCTTCTGTTTAATAACAATATATTTGGAATGCGAGTTTTCTTATAAATAGCAAACAAAATATGAAATAAAATAAAAAATATTGGCAATAATAAACGTTCTTGTTTATTCGATATTTGATAATTACATTGCCAGTAATTACTGATGTGTCTGACCTGTTGTTGCTTATACTGTCCTTTTGGATGGACTAATAATTATAATAATTACCCGTAAATGTATTTATTATTTCAATATTATATTAAATTAAAATCTTGGACTCAATAGTTATTGCCTACGGCCAGTGCACCAATTGATCATGAAAAAAATTCAAATGTTCTTGATCTGAAGTGAAGTGTTATTTGTTGACTTTATTATTTTTACTTTACTAACCTAGAATTGCGGAATGATTTTCTGTTACTATAAATGTCAAGCAGGTTGAACACAATAGTAGCTAGAATCTACTTTCTAATAATGTATGACAATGATGTTATTATAGTAAGTATAACACAATGTTCAAATGTGGAAAATGGTACAACATATCAGACTTGCTGGATACATTGAAACCAACGGCTGTCTCACTTATTCCCTGTTTTGTGATTTGTAGGGTCTACACCAATGGTGACATGGTGTTATGTTAAACCATGTCTTGAAGGCATGAATTGTAAACTATTGGATGATAGATGCATTGCAACATGCTCTAACAATCAAGACTACTGCCTAAATGATGGAATTTGTTACTATCATTCAGAAACTCAGCTGGTTAAATGCAAGTAAGTATTTGTGCATGTGCATCTAATACACATGTATATTATATAAAGTGTCTTGTAATTGTATTTTGGCCAATTTTTCAACTAATCCCCCCCCCCAAAAAAAAACCACAACAACATTATTTTGTAAGCTGAGTACCTTGGGCTCTGAGTCGAACGAGTATGGTATAGCTATATTTTAGCAAATTTGTCTGAATGCATGGATGGATTAAATACATGTGCCAGCTCCAGTATGCCTCATTGTGCTGTTCGATGCCTTAAATTAGTGAAAACACAAGGTGCAATATATTCCAAGCATAATTAGTGTGTTTTCAATAACACAGATTCTCAAAATGAGAAGGTAAAATGATCTTTTCAAATTTTCAAAAGTGACCATCGTTGACAGGGGCTTGTGTACTCTATATCAAACACACACAAGCATTGTAAAAGTATTTTGGGACATGGACATGGACATGTTGACCAATTAAGACTGTAGTTTTTTATCTCCAGTCTATATATATGGTATCTGGGAATTTACTTCCCATAGGCATCAATTGTTTGAAAATTTGGTGATTGACTCAAAAAACTTTTCTATGCAAAACAACAGTGTATATTAATGGTATTAGTTCATACAAACTTCATGAAATGGCTTGTATGCTATTCTGAACCATGTATCAAATTTATCATGAGTGTTAAGATTTTTAGTATTGCACCATGGTGTATAATAATAATTTTAATGTTTATTTTTTTAGTTGTCCAAGTGATACATATTACGGTATAAGATGTCAGGTTGAAGATCTTGTCTCCGGTAAGTGTTATTGTTATCCTCATCAAGAGTTAATTAGACCTGAATTGTTTTCCTAAGTACCGGTAACATCAAACTCTTAAATATTTTGTTGTTTTTCAGATGCCCAGATGGTGGCAATCCTTGCAAGTATAGTGTGGTTGGGAATTTTTATTTTTAGTGGATTCATATTGTGTGTGGTGAATTCCAAAAAATGTTGTACTAAGTAAGTAGACTGTTTGGTATTATGAGACAAATGTTTGTACATTATCAAAAAATAATTGCTATTTGAAAATGTTGTATTTTGGACATGCTTTGTCAGTTGTCATTCAAACTTGGTACATAGATTATACATGTTAGGATACATGTCCATGATGATTTATTTCGAAATTGGATCAAAGATGGTTGACTGGCAGGCATCTTGTTTGATTTTTTGTATGCAGTATCTTGGACGTGCTCTGTCAGTTTTCATTCAAATTTGGCACATACATGTACTTTATACATGTTAGGATGCATGTCCATGACAATTTGTTTCTAAATCTGGTCAAGGATGGCCAATTGACAGCCATCTGACTTTTTGGCCTTACTACTATATTGCCACAATTTATGTACCATTTTCATTCATATTTGGCACATACATCATACATATCAGTGTGTTTCATAATCAGATCAAAGATGGCCGAATAACGGCTGTTTTTATTTTTGGCCATATTACTACTACACGGAACACGTGTTTTGATGTAAATAAACAATCTGTTGTATACGCCACTTGGAACTCAAGTTTCAAGGACACGCTCGCGACAACCCCTCCGCTTTAATATGGCGAGCACAAAGAGAACTTTCACAAATTTAACGGGGACTGTGTCATTTTCAATGACTTGTTCATTTAGTGATCTGATGGCCGAATCTAGGATTTATGCAATTTTTTTCTGGATCTCAGTCATGCATAGATAGATTGTGTTCAAACTTGGTATGTACATTCAACTTTATGGGATTTTAATGCATGTCATCGTTTTTTTCAGCCTGGAGTCAAAATGGCTGACTGATGACCATTTTGTTTTAGTGAATGCAATTCTGGGGCCATATCTCTGACATGCTCATGTATATTTTAAACTCACAAGGACTATATGCAATTACTTGTTTCTTCACATTAACAATATACTTTTTGTAATATGTTTATTAATGATGTAATTTCAGAAAAATCAGCAGAACTGAAAAACTACCTGATGAGTTTTTTGACTCTGATTCAAATGCAACTCTGGAATTTAATGGTGTTGATGTGAATGTATCAAATATAGAGTTGCAGGATGGTAACCATAACAATGACCCTGAAAATCATGGATTTTGTTTGCGACAAGACAGTTCGTATGGCAATGCTGAATTTGAAAATACTAACATGTAAATCATGCAGTAAATTTGGATGAGATTGTTGAATTGTAAACACATTCTTTTCAACACTGCCAGTATGTATATATGACTTCACATTCTCAATTATTGTAACTCGTTCATGTTTATATAACTCTTTAAAACAATTTTTAGTCTGTAAATATGTGAAATGTACAATTTTTTTTAAAATTGTGAAATAAAATACTCAAATGTGTGTGTGTCTATTCATGCATATTAATGAACTAATTTGCATATTAATTAGCCATTTTCAAGCCTTTTCACTATTCAACAGATTTCAATGATACTTTGTACATAGATGTTCTACAATAATGCACAAACCAGATGTTTTTGATTAAAATCCATGCACCGTATTGACCTAATTTGCATAATAATTAGCAATGTTTTATCTTTTCCACCAATATTTCAACCACTCAACAGATTTCAATGAAACATGGTACATAGCAATCTGATTAAAATCTGATGTAGTGTACGGGCTTTAATTATTTTGGCTATAAACTTATTTTATTTGAGTGTGTTTGCCACCCGACTGTGTCCGGTGACGTCATCATGTGCGCTATAGAAGGAGGTCTGTGATTCGTTGACTAAAATCGTCGATAGTGGTTCTCGTTGAAATCTCGTTACATAGGCGT